CTTTCAAGGTTCTATGGCCGCAGATGTTAATATTCCATTGACAAGCTGTTATTAGGCCGCAATCTAAGTGCCTCCAAGCAGAAGCACCTGGAGTCGCCCGACCAGCCGATGCGGGGCGAAGGCTGGATCGGTGGGTGGTGCATGCTTGGCGCACCTCATTGTTCTGTATGGTGTGATCCGATTGCGGGGCTCGGCGTCGTCGCTAACTTCCAACACGCTCAACATTGATGGCAGTGTCGCGCTACGCAATGACGTCGTGCGATCCGGCTCGATCCATTCTGGCAAGGCGAGATGCAGAGCGGAGCTGCGAGTGGGATAGCTCACATGCGTGCCAGCTGCTTTCATCACAAGGGGTCGCCGCAGCCCTGCATCAGACTTAGCCTCAAAAGGTCGCCGGCTCGCTTCAGTCTGAAAAGAAAGCGTGTTTTTGTTTTTTTTTTCTTCTTCTTGCTCGGTTGAGCGGGTCGGAGAAGAGACGCGACACAAAGGGCCCGGACGCGTGTCGACCGGAGTTCCGTTGGGCTCGGCGTCGGCGCGATCCGACCACTTCGGGCGACATAGAGAGTGTTGGATTCAACAGCTGTGTTTGCCAAGCTTTCGAATCGAACGGATCTGCGAGACCGATGGAAGACGAACAAAGAAGCGGGCTCCCCCCCTCTCGGCTCTCGGCGCTCTTCGCCAGCCTCGGGCATCCTCACCACACTCGCATTGTTCGTCTCGCATTGTTCGTCCTCGGTCATTCCGACAGTGATTCAGCATGCACCTGCATCCCGCCGTTTCGAGGCTAACTGATCGTAAGGTCGAGCGGTGAGTCGACTGATCGACTCGCAAAGACGAGATGCGAATGCGGCTGGTGCTTAAGCGAAGGAGAACCCGAGAGGTGAGGACAGCACAGCACAGCAGAGCGTCTTGTAACGAGGAGGTGCCAGCGCACAACAATAGGCTCTCCTTTGGAGCTAAGAAAAATTTCGCAACGCTGCTGTCCAGCTGTCGCGTCGCGCCAAGGCCGGACGCACGCACCTGTGCAGTGCGCATTCTGGAAAGGCTTGGCGGGTTCATGCAGCGTGCATGGCGCCCGGTCTCAAACCTCGCCTGGCGTTGCTGCCAACCGGTGTTGGGGCCGTGTAGAATCCGTGTCGATCCGCAAGCCCGCTCTCGCTTGCGTTGGATGCCTGCGGCTCTGCCACGTCGGCAGAACGCGCCGCCCCCGAAGCGTGTTCTCTGCTTGTCTCAGCTGGGCCAAGGGAGCGAAATGTAAAGATTGGATTTGGTGGGGCCGCCAGCGAGGTGGGTTCAATGCAAAGAGAAAGAGGCTGGCGGTGGGCGGTGCGTGTTGTTGCTGTCACTTGCAGCTCGCAGCTCGGCCTGCATCCGATCCAACGGGCGCGCAGCCTCTCTGCACCAGCCAAGCCCTCGAGCTTCCTTCTCTGCTCGCCCAAATGTGCAGCGCAGTGCAGCGCAGTGCAGCCCTGCGCAGCTCATCGCAGCTCCAAGCGCCCACCGCCCCCTCTCGGAACTCAGATGAAGCGCCGTGGCAGCAGTCAATCCGCCGTGTTCGGGCGATCCGCAGGCGACAAGCGTGAATGTGCAAGGGATCCCGGCGTCTTCTCCCAAAAGACAGCAGACAACCCAGCACGATCCGAAGCGCCGAACCCGAGATGAGGCGGATGAGCTGTACCCCTGTGTTGCGTTGGCACTGAAAGCGCTCACGCATGCCCGACTCTGCCTTCCCTTCCTTCCTTATCCACGTCTCCTTCTCTCCTTCTCTCACTCACTCGCTCTCTTCCCTCTCCCTTTCCCCCTCTACAATCGCCTGGCCGCAGCATAGGACCGTCAGATCGTCTGCTGCAGAACGCTCGGCTCGCACCACACCACAGTCTTTACTGCTTCGCATCCCCGTGTTTGTTCTTAAAGGTCTTGGATTCGGACGCTCTTGAGCCTGACTCCTTGTCGACGTTCCCCCTTCACCACCACCATCCCCCTCGTTGCTCGTCCGTTCGCGTGATACAGACGTGCTCTCTTCACCATGCGTCTCACTGCCCTCACCGTAGGAGCCGTGGCTCTGGCCGCCCCGCTCGCCTCGGCCTCGCGCTTCCACGAGCGCGGCCTTGTCGATGCTGCTGATCACCCCGCTGGCCACCTCTTCTCCAAGCGCGCCGCCACCCACAGCATCACCAAGCGCCAGCTTGCCACCACCTCCAAGAATGGCCTCCCCTACCCGCCCGCCGGCTCGGACCCGCCCCCCGCCAGCTCGCTGCCCAAGGCCTGGGTCGACCGCTACAACGCCAAGAAGGCTGCCGGTCTCATCCCCGACATCCCGCGCTCCATCACCGACCCCAACACCCGCGCCACCGTCTACCCCGCCGGCACCGACATGACCAACGTCTGCTCCTGGACCGTCCAGAAGTGCGACACGGGCGACATCTGGCTCGCGCCCGACAACGCCGTCGCCATCACCTTTGACGACGGCCCCACCCCGCAGTCGCCGGCGCTCATCGAGTACCTCCAGGAGCAGAAGCAGGGCGCCACCCACTTCCTCATCGGCAGCGCCATCGTGTGGAATCCGGACATGATGGACGCCTACGTCAAGGCGGACCCGCCCATGCACCTCGGTGTCCACACCTGGTCCCACACGCTCCAGACGGGCAAGACCGACATGGAGATCCTCGGCGACCTCGGCTGGACCATGCAGATCATCTACGACCTGACTGGAAGCGTGCCCATGTACTGGCGCCCGCCCGAGGGTGACGTCGACGCGCGTGTGCGCGCCATCGCCACCGAGGTGCTCGGCATGCAGACCGTCATGTGGAACAAGGACGCCGACGACTGGTGCCTGCGCCAGGGCACCGGCACCGCGCAGCTCCAGACGTGCACCACCGGCGTCGGCGCCAACAAGACGAGCGTCATCAGCGAGATGACCAGCTGGGCCACCACCAACAACCGCACCGGCTTCATCTCGCTCGAGCACGAGACCACCGACCAGGCCATCGACTCGTTCAAGGCGTACCACCGTGCGCTCAAGCAGAACAACTGGAACGTCGGCCCCGTCCCCGAGCTCCAGGGCCTGCCTTACTACCAGAACCAGTGGAACCTCACCTCCAGGAAGGAGCAGGTGGACAGCATTCTGCCCACGCGCGAGCCCATCAAGGTCGTCAACTCGGACGCCCGCCGTGGCTCCAAGCGCGCTCCGGACACCAGCGCCTACGCCAACCTCGACGGCTCGGGCGCCGGCGCCCAGGCCTCGTCGTCCGCCCGTGGCGCCGCCGCTTCGTACACCGCCTCGGTCAGCGCCGCCGGCGCCTCGTCCACCGGCACGTCGGGCTCCTCCGGCTCGTCGTCGTCGTCGTCCGGCTCGTCTGGCACCTCGTCGAGCTCCAGCACTTCGAGCAAGGGCCAGACCACCTCGGGTGCGTCGAGCCTTCTCGTCGGCGCCTCCACCGTCGGCATTGGCGCCTTCGCTGCCGCCCTCGCCCTTGTCCTCTAAATACCACATCCCTGGCGCTTGCCATCCTGCATCCCATCAGCATCTCTTTCCACTTTTCTCTTTCCTACGATAGATGCCGAGTCGAGCCGTGCCGCCACATATTGTCCTGCTCAAGTGGTGGCATGCGCCGCAGCTAGTTCTGCGGCGGTCCACCGTTCGACTCGGCCCTTTGAATCTTTGCGTCTTTGTTCATTTGCTCCATTTCTCTCGCACGTAATCCGACCGAAGCTCCTCTCCGCCTTCTCTCTCCGGAGAATGCGTGGATGCGAGGATGCGACATTCCTTCTTTCCAAATCTTGCCTGTAGCGCGCGGCTTTCTCGAGACAAAGTGAGTGCGCGAGGGATGGGACGGTCTCGAGTGCGGGGATAAAGTGGGAGAAAGAGGGTCTTGTGACATTGGCCGACGCGCGCCTGGTGCGCTGAATGACAGGATTGCAGCTGTCCACATCCGTGCTTTGGTGGCTTGGCGTCCAGCTCCAGTAGGAGGGTAGAGAGCACGGGAAGGGGGGGGATCGTGGGGGATCGGCGTTGCGCGTCTCGTTTCGGTGGCGGCGAATGCGTCATGGCGAGACGCCGAATCGGGCCCTGTCAGTCGCCGTCGGGGTCTGCGCGCGCGGTAAAGTTGCAGGGTCCCCCTTGGCTCGCCACTCGTACCGCCCCTTCAAAGCCTTATTGTAACGCGAACAGTTCAGTCTCAACCTACGAGCGCTGCTGGACAAGGCGATACCGGGGAGACAGAGCCATGCTACTGAGAGAAGCGTCGCACGCGACGCTATTTAGACGACCAGGAAAGGGACGGTAGACTTCGGTGGTTAGATTGACCCAGCACGGTGGTGGGTTAGCTTTGGCGCGGCGAGTCGTACGTGCGCAGCTAGGGCAAGTGTGCATGGTGGTAGACTACCGCCACGGCATTTGCTTGGTCCCCGTCTCCCACGGGGTTTCGCTTAAGCCTCACCCTCCGGTATCGAAAGCATGTCTTGAGAAGGCCCAACGCCAGGCCGCCCCAGCTTCGGTGCATATATAGCCTCTTCCCCCCATGGGTCAAATCCGCCCACCATACTTCGAACGCCAACATGACACGCACATTGATCCGCTGGGACGATCCTCGAGTTGAGTCTGGCGCTGGACCGGACGAAGACGCCTTGATCCGCGAGGTCGAATCTCAAATCAACACGGCCCAGACCGCTGTCTGGGAATGTCACCGCCACGCCTTTTCGGGCACACACGTCAAGACGCAAGGCATTGTCAAAGGCCATCTCACCGTAGTGGAAGGTCTTGACACGCATCTGTACCAGGGGCTCTTCCGTACTCCCGGGTCCAGCTTCCCCGTCGCGATGAGGTATTCTACCGAGACAACTGATCTCATCGATGATCGCACGCCCCAGCCCCGCGGCATTGGGCTCAAGGTGTTCGGAGCCAAGGGGGACAAGTTGCGCAAGGATGGCAAGGATCCAGAGACGCAGGACTTTGAATTCAACTCGTGCGCCTTCCTCGAACTGGGCAACGCAAGGACATGTAGAGACATCATCGCTCTTCGCCTGCTCCACGGTAGCAATCCTACGCAGCTCGATGGAGAGCTCAAGAAGAGGGATGATTACAAGGTCCAAAATGCCCGCAATGTCGCACCCAACATCCACCTCGTTGCTCAAAGGCAGTACTCCCAAGCCGCAATTCGATATGGAGACTACGTTGTCAAGTACCGTCTGCTTCCGACCTCGAACGAGCAGCAAGCTCTGCAGCACAAAACGGTCGCCGAGACGGACAAGGGTACGACAGTGCTCAAGGACTGGCTCCAGGACTACTACAAGACGCATACGGCCACATACGATTTCCAAGTGCAGTTCCTCGAGAATCTTGACGAGCAACCGATCGAAGACGTCCGTGTCGAATGGAACCAAGACAAGTACCCCTTTGTAACCGTGGCCAAGCTCGAGATTCCGCCCCAGGAGTCGTTTGCCTCCAAGAGGGTGAGCTTTTGGGAGGACCACAATCGTCTCGATGTCTGGCATGGGCTGGTGGAGCATAAGCCGCTCGGATCCATCAATCGCCTGCGACGCGGCGTGTACAAGGCCTCGTCGGCCTGGCGTCACCGCATGAACGCCCGCGAAGAAGTCACCGTCAGCTCCATCGATCAGATTCCCGATTGACCTGTCCCCCTTCCCGCTGCACACACAAATGATCAATCATTGTCCCCATATCCCACCGAATGCTGCCGTGCAGTGAAGAGGGTCGATTGAGGCGAGGGTACAAATACATTGCTGACCAGAACTAAAAATCGATGGTAGGACGAGCCTTGTACTTGCGCGTGGCTCTCGAGGGCAGCGTGTGCATCATATGGTTTCCATGCAGTTCGAAGCGCAGCTTGCCTGCCGCATCGGAGAGGGGCACATCGATTGCAAACACGGCGTTCTTCTTGGGTATCGTTCGCGTGCTCTTCTCCTTGCCCCGCTTGTCCTCGGCCTGAGGTGGCACGGCGAGGATCAGGGTATGTTCGGTCTCCTTGACTACGAGTCCGCGCTGGGCCACCAGCGACGGATTCGCCGCACGCACCACCTCCACCTCGGCACCGCACAGATCCGCCTTGATCAGCGACGCCTGGATCGCACTCACCGTGCCGGATGACATGGTGCCGAGGTGCCGCGCGTCGAACTGCGGATTGGCCACCAGCTCGCCCCGACTGTTGAGCGCTACGATGTTGAGCAGCTGCTGGATGTACGTGCGCCACAGATCGTGCAGCGGCCGCACGAGGTCGTATGTGATGTGCGGATCCACGGCTTCGAGGCCCAGTCGCTTGCGCTGCGTGCGACTCAACGCCTTGCGCGCGTGCTTGTCCACCGCCTTGGCCGGAGTCTTGCCTCCGCGCGAGATGGAGCGCAGACGCCGGAGCTGCTTCGACGCATCCGAAAGTAGCCTCTGCTTGCCACGTACGATGTCCTTTGCAGCGCGGTCGTCGGTGTTGGGCTCTTCTGCCGATGGGCTAGGTTCGGATGTCTGCTCAGGTGCGTGTGTGTGTCGATTAGATCGGCCAGCGGCGATGCGCATGCGCTTGAGCTCAGACAGCTCGCTCTTGACCCTGCGTCTGCGACGAATGAGCTTGTTCTCGGCGCGGAGACGTGCATCTGCGTCTGTGCCGCCGGTCTTGGGCCGCGCGCGATCGAGGTTGGTGATCTGGATGCGGCGGTCTTGCAGTCGCTCGCGGTAGTACTGCGAAACCTGTGCGTCCGAGACCTTGGCGGGATTCAGCGCTTCCCGTAGCAGCTGATGAGCAGCGCTCGTGGAGCCAGAGCCGCTTGCCACAGCGTTGTCCACGTCCATCGTGGCGCAGGACTCGAACAGAGGCAGATGTCGGACGTGCGGAGGGAAGAAAGTGGAGCATCCAAGGGTTCACGCAAGATTGCTCACCGATGCGGGAAAGAAAATAAATCCATCGGGGCTGGTCACGTTCGCTCGCCCGATGGAGCGCGATCCGAGATCCGCCACCAAGCTCAGACTTGCTTCGCACGCACGGAAAGAGTCATTTCGTCAGCCCCGGCACGGTCTTGACCGGATCACGAGCGGAGGAACGAATGGCACAAGGTGCATGAGGTGCCGCATCGTGGCGTGTGTGTCACAGAGACCACGGCTTGGAAGCTTTGCCAATATGGGTAGCCGGCGATGCATTTGCCATGCACCGTTCAGGCTCGCTTCTCACCTTTTGTGGCTTGCTCGCTCGCTCGCCTGTCACCCGGGCTGACCACTTCTACCTGCAGCCGGAGATGTCCGACCGAGCCACAAACAGCCTCAGGCTTTCCGTAGGATGCTGCCGAATCGCGCCTTTGGCTTCGTGGATGTCATCGCTGCGTTGCTGGTCCTGCGAGCGTCGTCCTCGCTCTCGCTCCGTTTGTACTCGTGGAGAAGAAATCCTGTTGGCGTTGTCTCAGTGTGCGACGGTTTTTAAAGTTCCCAACGCTCGCACGCTGTGCAGCCTAGGTCCGGAGGTGACTGCAACGTATGCCCGCTTGCTTCCACCACGGGCATCTCGGGTAAACTTGGAGCCAATCAGGATCTGCCTATTTCGCAACCCCGCTGTGACGGCGTGGCCCGTTGGAACACACGACTGAACGTCCAGGTGCACGGCCCTGCCATGGACGACCTCGACTCCGAGCTTTGCGCCAAGATCATAGCGATCTGCAGAGTCGCACGCATCATCCAGTGTTGCTCGTGATGCGTAGTAATACCGTCGGCGGAAAAGCGAAGCAGCGGAGTTGGGAGCATGCTGCCATGGCGGAGTCGAGTCGCATCGCTCACACGAGACGGCGGCTCCAAACACCGTAGCCCAAGGCCCTGGCATCACTAATATCCGGGCAGCGTGATCCAGCTGCGGATCGTGGATCCGAATGGCGTCGCTGTGAGATGCGATCATTCGAGTCGGTGGCAGCTTTACGAAAGCCTGCAGCATTGTTTCTCCGATCAGGTGCGAGCTCGGTGGTCGGAGTGTGAAAACAAACTGCCAGGGTCGCAGTCCAGGCACACAAGAGAGAGAGGGCTAGACTGGCCTAGATGTCAAAGCACGGCATCTCCAACCTCCCGAAATTGGCTTCTTCGTCCGCTTTGCTGCTGCTGCTGCTGCTGCTCGGTTTTTGCCGTTTTTTTCTTTTCTTTTCTCTTTTCTTTGTGATTCCCAACATCAAGGCTTAGAACCTGTTGTACTGCGTGCCATCGACCTCACGGATGCACCGTCCGGATCGCGAAATGTAGAGAGAACAGCAGCGTGCGTCAAAGTCATCGCAACCGCAATTCCAAACACATGCTCCGCGAGATGCGGGTTGCACTTCCGCCAAGAGCCTTCTCGGCCAACGCATGGCAGCTGCTTCGCATTACTATAATAATAACTAAAAGGACGCCGCGCGGAGATAGTCGTTTGTGCAGAAGCCCAGCCGGCTCGGGTCGTGGTTGCCGGGGGCTCTCGTTTTCATGAGCGCTTACGCTGTGGCAGCAACATGACGTTTCGGGTAGAAACCCGCAATGCCTGGGTTTGTTGGAACAATGAGCGGGGCAGGCTTCGAGATTCCGGGTCGGCCGGTGCTTCTCATACGGTCGTCGATGCTTGGAGGCGGCGGAGTCGAGCGATGTATTGCCGCTTGTTCCTGCTGATCCGGGCCGTGGGCATGCCCTGAAGGCGATGATGACGATGGCTGCTCGCCACCCAGGCAACTCAATGTGCCTGGAGAACCATGACTGGGTTGGACCCTTGCCTGCCTGCGGCCTCGACCCCGACTCGCAGCCGAGCCCTGCGACCATGGGTTTTCTAAATTTGGTCGGCCGCCACTTCAGCGAAATTCGATGTGCCATGAGAGCAGAACGCTGCACGTCCGGCGGTGTGGCTGTGGAGCCTCGGAAACTCAAGTGTCTCGTTCACACGAACACAGGCACCCTCTTGCCGTCGGAACGACCGAATCTTGGTCCGAGCAGAGAATGGTGAGATTGCATTCAAATCGAGTCGATGATTCAAATTCTTCTCGAGCACCCGACGGGGTCGCCATGCCGAGTCGGCAGTCTTTCCCATTAAAAAATAATGAAGCGCTTTTGCAGGTGAAACGTGCTCCAATTGCTGTAAACACGCACACCACGCCCCTCGGATGTTGACCTCTCGGATGTTGACGGCAGCGATGGCGGTCACGCTATTGGAGCTCACTCTCTCGCCGTCAAAGGCGAGTGTAAACCCAAGCATCAGCACAGCAAGATGGACAAAATCTCGCAATCCTTTTTTTTTTGAGCGGTTAGCAAGTTTTCTTTTTCCCTTCAGCACCGCGGAGGTGGTTGCAGGGGGCGAGTTTTCGAGACTTTGTGTGCCAGGCTTGCAGGCCATCGCTGTTCTTTTACGCCGGAATTCGACCAAGTTTTATTATATCGTTCCGCACCTAAGCGACACACATGACGTGCATCTCGGTGCGGCGGTGTGGTCAGCACGGTTCCCCGTGTTCCTCGCATGCGCGTCCAATTTACGTCGCATGTGCCGTGTGCAGAGCCTCACCTTGCGCCGCGGCGCTCTCTTCCGCACTCTTCCGCTCGATTCACCCTGGCGCGCTGCGCCAGTGCTGGGATCCACTGCGTCGATCTGCCACTTCGGCGCCAGTCGTCCGCGGCACTCCACTCCGCGCCACGCCAAACCACGCCGAACCGCGCTAAGTTGTTCGGTGCGGGCCGAATCTCATCCGGTGAGAGTCGCATCATGCAGCCAACAATGCAGAAATTCGGCCGTGCCTCGGTTGCGAGGCTCTCTGCTTTGGTCACATCTCACCGAGCGGGGTCGCCCGGGCCGGCTTGCCATAGGAGCAAGTGCTGGCCCGCTGCACCGACGCGCAGATGCACCCAGGCGAGCAGGGCGGTTAAACCGCCACGCCTCTGGACCCCAAGCGCACTGCTGGTCGCCGTTCCGTGCAGGAACGGAATCGCCTGTCGCGCCAATCTCCCTCCGCGACTGCTGCGACTGCCTGGTTCTCGGGCTCTCCTGAAGGGGTGGTGCCCAACTAGTTCCTGCTCAGGATTGCCTCTTGGGTTTGTGCCCGCCTGCCTGCTTACCACCCTCCCACACTCCCCTTCGCTGACATAGGTACGCACAACCTCCATGCATGCAACCGCTTCTTTGACCTTTTCGAGGACGTGACGCATCCGACGCAGCTCGAGGGCAAGTCTTGGATTCCATCTCCGCTCCTCCTGCGGCTGCCACCACCCTTTCGGACGCTCAACACCTCCGACGGCATCAACAACGCACACTCACACGCTCCGCTCCCCACCTCACACCTCGAGCGACCTCAACCTGATCCCGTTCGCCTTTTTCTTGCTCCTTGCCTCCACTCCACCACTCTCCAACGTCTGTGTACACACTCTCCATCCAGCCTGCTAGAGTTCGCTGCCTGCCACTCTTGCCCTGCAACGCTACGCGATCAAGTCGCATCGCTGCAACCAAGCACGCAGAACGTCCCGACCTCATCCCCTCCCGTCGCATCTGGACGCAATTCATCGCCACGCTTTCTGCACGTTCGGCTCCTGCTTCTTCCTAGAGGCTGCCACAAATTGACGCTTGCCTGCCTCGCTCCGTCTGTCATCTCCGCCACCTCCGCCACCTGCTCGACAACCTCGACAAGTGCTACTGCCAAGCCCGCTCGTTGTTGCAGAGCCGCTGCCAAAGCCACCATCCGGGCGCATGTCCCACCGCCGAGCCCGCTCCTCATTTCATCTGTCGTCACCAGAACGTCGGCGCACCACCTCGCTGTTGTCTGACCCCTCGACCTGCTCTCGATAGTAAGTTCCCCCACGCGCATCCTTCGCCACCCGGCAACCCACTCCCGAGGCCCCACACCGGACTTGCAGCCCCCATCCTGTCCGGTTTTCCGCCGCACGAGCCGGCACGATACTGCCACTCTGGAACATTTGAGGCGCTGACATGCAATTTTCGGTCGTTGCCACACCCGCTTTCATGCTTGGCAGCGCGTAGATTCGACCCGCATCTCGTCCCTTTCGCCGCGCATCCGATTCCCACGTCGCCAACCATTGTTTGCGCCATTGATACGGCCGATCGATCATCCTTGCGTCATCTGCAAGACCTGCAGCAAAGTTCCGCTCGCTCATCTCTGCACCGGTCAGCTCGGCCTTCAGCCAATTCGTGCACGTATCAACGCTCTCGCCAATCATGTCACGTTCCGAATCGGACGAACGCGATAGCGCATTTGCCTCTGGCAACGGCTCTGGACCGTCGCACGCATCAGAGTACGTTCCCTCTCGTCTCGACCGACATGGCTTGACACATCCGGCAGATGATGCGCTTCGTGCCACACAAGACCGCTACAGAGATCCATATCCAGAGCAAGATCCATATGCAGGCGGCTCGCAACGCTTCAGAGGAGCACCAGTGAGCCCGTCCCAGGAACGCCAGTACCAGCACGAGCTCGAAATGATGAAGGCACGGGAAGAGCAAGAGCGATTCTACGCCACGTCTTCGTCACGTGGTGGACGCGGTGCCCCAGAAGGCAACGAGGTGTATGCCGGGGTCCCCGCCGCCAGCGCAGAAGCCAGCGGGTTCGGACCGCGAGCATCTTCGAGCGAAAAACCGAACCTAGAAGGCTTCTCCCGGGTCGAGAACGGCAGGCGCTACCGCCTTGTTGTGGTGCAACATCCGAGTCGAGCGCGAATGTGCGGATTCGGCGACAAGGATCGACGTCCGCTCAGCCCAACCCTGCTGGTGAAGCTCGTCATTACGGACGAGGCAACAGGCGACGAGATAAGCCCTCTCGACGTCAACACGTCCCTCTTTCTTCTTGCCACCGACCTCTGCCACCCAGACGACCTGATGCTCGCACCGCGCAACATCCTCGTTCATCATCACGCCTCATCTCTACCTGTCAATCCGATGCAACAGGGTGGTCACCACGGATACTCACAGGACGAGTACGCCACGCCGCACGGATCGAGCTACGGCAACTTCGCAGCCGAAGGTCCTTCGGATGCCGACTACCGGGCTGGAGGCGGTTTTGGAGCGGGCATTCCACGCTCGGGGTCTCCTTCCGGTGCTCCGGACGCACGCAGCTCTACGAACACACAAATGTCGTTCGCGAGTAGTGGAGGCAACGTGATCGCGGGTCAAGGCGAATCGTACACGCGCAACCTGGTGGGCGCGGCGGTGGCGAGCGCGTCCGTGCTCAAGGACGAGCAGGACAAGTGGTGTACCTTCTTCGTCTTCCAAGACATCTCGGTGCGTACTGAAGGCGTCTACCGCATCAAGCTCATGTTTGTCAATCTCGAGGTCAACGGTCGCGTCGGCACGGGCGTCTCGGAGGCGCTCGCCGAAACCTACACCGAGCCGTTCACCGTCTACTCGCCACGGCGCTTCCCGGGCATGCTGGATCCAACGCCGCTCTCGCGCAAGCTCGCATCACAGGGTATCAAGATCCCCGTGCGTAATGACAAGAAGAAGCAGCGCCGACGCAATGATGACGGCGACATGGGTGCAGATGACGACGGGGGCTCAGGCGGCGACGACGACGATGATTAGACACGTGCCTCTTTTGCAATCTCATACTCCTTCAAGTTGTGCACGCCAGGAGTCGAAACTCGAGTGATTGCTTTGATTGTCCCCGAGGCTAATCAGCGTTAAGCTCAAGATTGACAGCTCGGGACAAGGGTGGGATGGGATCGAAGGGAATGAGGGGCTCCGAATCTTTATCTATGTTAGACCCTAGCTTCTAGGTGCTGATTTTTTAAATCACGTGTGGCTCGAAGCGGGGCAAGTCGGCCGTTGCATTTCGACTTGGATCGGGGATGGCGATTTGGGAAATTCTCGCTTCCGAACCCAGCGTGCTGGGCGAGGGAGTCAAGTCGTCTCTCTCACACTTGGCAGCCGGGCGGGAGAGGCACGCGGGAGTTGGAGATTGATCGCGACGACTTGCTACCACCATCACCCCCGTCGGACCACCTATCATCATGGCATCTCGATTCGCAGCTGGCCTGTTTGGCCGTTCCATGCGCACCCTCCAGGCGCCCTCCGCCGTGCGTCGCTACGCAACCGCCGCTGGCGAGAACGAGTTCGTCGCCGAACGCGCACACCACAAGGAGCACGCCGGTAGTAAGTAGCCAAACGACACAAACGACAGTTCTCGGCTGCTGGGCAAGAGCGCCCGCATTGCAACCGCCCTGGACATGTTACGACGCGGCCAACATGAAGAGATGCTGCTTGGAAGTGGGACTTTTTTTGCTGACGTTTTGACGGGTCTCTTTGATGGATTACAGAGTCGGCGGATCTCTGGCGCAAGGTCTCTCTCTACGTCTGCATTCCTGGCTGTAAGTCCTCGACACTCATCTCTGCGTTCGATTCCGACCCAGTCGCTGATTTTGGTGCTGGTTTCATGTTTGCGATGATAGCGATCGTGCTGGGTGTGTACATCTACGGTATCGAGAAGCACCACTACGACCACATGGTCCACGAGTTCCACGAGAACGACAACCAGCCTCCCGAGCGCACTTTCTACGAGTACAACGTAAGTCCTCCCCCCACAATCACACGCACAGCCATCTTAAGAATGAGAATGCAACTAACACATGCGGCGCGTTTTGGTATCGTAGAACATTCGCAAGAAGGCCTTCCCCTGGGGCGACGGCTCCAAGTCGTTCTTCCACAACGACATGATCAACCACCCCAAGGACCCTTAAACATCTTCTCTTCCTGTTCTACCAACACATTTCTGTCGCTCACCATCTTTACGACGGAAGCTTCAGAATACCAAATTCCCTTCTACACATCCGAGAGTCGTGTGATGCACGGCCTCATGTCTGACTCCCGACCTCACCCAGCTCACATGTCGACTCTGCCATCTCAACGACCGCACACAGCACACGCCCACACAGCGAAAAGAGATTGAAACGTGTTCGCAACGAGCGGGCGACACTGACGATGGAGAACAAAAAAGCAGTCACAAAAAGCGGGGCGAGGGGGGAAATATCGAGTGAACGAAAGTGAAAGAGAAAGAAAATGGTCAAGTGGCAGACGCAAAGGACAGAGGATCGTAGCGAGTGTGTGTGTGTGCGAAAAGGGTATGCAGGAAGCTCAAGTGACAGCCGCATTTCGCAATCACTGCTGCGGCTCGAGGATCATCTCCTGGATGCGCCTGGCAAGCGACGAGATCTCGCCCTCGGCACTCGTGCCGTCGTCCGAGCCGTCGGTCCTCTCGTCCTCGGCGCTCTGGTCGGCCGAGAGCGAGGCGAGGTGCTGGATGAGCGGCAGCAGCTGCTCGGAGCTGCGGATGTTGTCCTCGAGCTGCGCATCGCCCGACTCGAGCAGCTGCACGATCGTCCACACAGCGATGTGCTGGAAGGTGGAGTCGTGCGACTCGAGGAAGCGCACCAGGTAGCCGTGCAGGCCGCCCTCGGGCTGGTTCCACACCGCGTTGAACGGCGCATAGTCGTCGGATTTCGACGAGAGGTTGCCCAGCGCCGCCGCCGAGTTGCCCTGCACCTCGACCGAGGGCGACGCGGTGAGCGGGATGAGCACCTCGCAGATGCCCATCTCGAGCAGCTGCGGCTTGAGGTCCTCGGAGAGCGCCAGCACGGCCGCACACGCCGTCATCTCGCTCTGCACGCTCAGCGGCACGTTGAGCACGAGCTCCTTGATGCGCTCCACCGCGCCCGCCTCGACGATCGCCGTCTTGTTGCGCTCGCTCGACGCGGCGAGGTTGCGCAGCGTGCTGATGGCGTGGCACTGGATCTCTTCGTTGTCCTCGTGGCTGAGCAGGTCGATGAGAGGGTGCAGGAAGCCGGCATCGATGATGGGCGACTCGTTGGCCGGGTGGATGGAGACGTTGCGCACGCACGCCGCCGCCGACAGGATGAGCGGCAGGAACGACGAGCGCAGCAGTCGCAGCAGAGGCGGCAAGCCGTTGGAACGCACGATCTCGATCTGGTACTTTTCGTCCGACGCGAGGTTACGCAGCGCGAGCGCCGACTGGCACTGCACCTTGAGCGACGAGCTCTCCATGAGGCCGATCAGGTTCTGCACGAGTCGGGGCTCGGTCTGGGCGAGCTTCTTGCGGTTAGCCGCGTCGACGGCAATGTTGCTGAGCGCAGTGGTGCAGTAGTACTGCACGTCCGTGTCCGAGCTGCCGAGAAGGCCGACGAGCACGGGGATGGCGCCAGCGTTGACGAGCTGCTGGCGGTTCTCGTCGCTGTGTGTCATGTTGAGCAGCGCACCCGTGGCGTTGCGCTGCACACGCATGTCCTTGGATCGAGCCAGGCGCGTGAGCGGGACCAATGCGCCCGACTTGGCGATCTTGGTCTTGTTGTCGTCGTGGGTGGCGAGGTTAGTGATGCAGCCGACGGCGTTGCACTGCACTTCGACGTTGGGGCTGAGCATCTGTCGGATCAAGGGCTCGAGGCCGCCGAGCTTGACGATAAGCAGCTTGTTCTCGGCATTGACGGCGAGGTTGCCGAGCGCAGCACTGGCGGCGCGCTGCACCTCGACGTCGTGACTCTGCAGGAGGAACATGATGGGCTCGAGCGTGTCGCGCCCGACCTCGCGCACCTCCTTTTCCGTGATCTCGGCAAAGGCGAGCGCAGCGCTGCGCTGCAGGTCCACATTGTCGCTGAACGAGAGCGTGGATAATGCTCGCAGCGGGTCGCCGGTGAAGAAGTTGGTCTCGGAGCGGTCTGCGAGGTCATGACAGGGGCAAATGGTCGGTCAGGGATCAAGCTGCTGTAAGACGAATCCCGGCCACGAGGCAAATACTTACTTTCAAGGTACTGCAGCAGATCGGCGACGGCATCTCGCTCATTGTCGAGCAGGAGCGGCTCGTAGTTGGCGTTCCTGGAGGAGCCGCAGCCGCAACAACTGCAAACGTTACCCATGGCTCGATACGTGCGACGCCCGCGCTTGTAGCGTGCCGGTGGAGTGCCACGTAGGATCTAGCTGATCGAGCTGCAGCTAGCGATAGGGAGGGGACGGCAAGCGCGAAGGCAGATGACTATTCGAGCCAGATGCGGGCCGCGTGTGCGCTTTGGAGGTGTGTCGGCAGTTCCGATACGAGGCAAGTGCGGATCAGCAGCGGTGCTGAGCGGGATCGACTGATCGATGCCAGGCTGGCTAAAGCGTGCGGGTGCGGTCGAGGATGAAACAGCGACGGCTGGCAGCGGAAGGTCGTATGCGAGCGGCGACGTTGAATGGACGGACCGGTTGCGTCTGCGAGGATGCAGTTGGACGTGCGGGATGGGGGCGATGCAGGAGATGCGTGCCAAAGGAAGCGGAACGACCTGGACGTGAGCGACGGGATGCCGAGCCAGCGAGTAGGTGTGTGCCACAACGACGATGGACGATGGTGGATAGGAGGTGGAGGCAAAAGCGACGAAGTGATTCGGAGATGGAGTGAGCGCTGGATTGGCTGGCTGAGTGTGGAAAGCGGAGGCGCGTCTTTTTGCGAGGCTGCGAGCGGTGCTGTGGGCGAAAGCGGCCGGTGCGGCTGCGCCGGCAGGTGGAGTTGGGCACGCAAGGGGCAGCAAAAGACCAACAGCGTCAGAGCCAGCCAACCCGAGCTGGCGCGCAGCGATCCCAGTCTCAGCTCAGCCCTCACTGCAGTCCAGCGCGGAGGCACGGTCGCTGCAGCGCGCGCCCTCGCTGCCCGTTTCTTGTTGGAACGAGCGCAAAATGCACGAAAAAAGGGGCGCGGGGAACGGGCAGGCAGAGGGAGAGGGCGACGCGAGTCTTGGGATGGGGCTGCCTGCCTGGCGCTCGGTCCAATTCGAAATCCACCCGGCTGCAATTCCAAAGGCAGATTCCAAAGGCAGTCTAGTCTTGGCTCTGCTGTGCTGTTGAACTTCTCGTGTGTTTGCGGTCTTTGAAATATTCAACTTCGTGCTTGCTCATTTGCACTCGTGGTGGTGACGTCCCGACCCACCACACCTCATCTGCCGTTGGCCGCCAGAGTGCGCATCATCTGTGGTGACCACAGCGTGAGCCTCAGGCTTCATGCACGGTCGGCGGTACTGCCTTCATCTCGAGTATCATTGTGATTGACGTTCGAATGCCTACGTGACAGCGTCGCCATGCTCACTTAGTGCTTGATTGACGCCTGTCGTGCAACTGTGAGCGAGCCGTGTGAGAATGCGACCGGCAGAGGCGACCGAGCCGGCCTTGGAGAGACAGGCGACATGGGCAGCCCACCGACCTTGGTGGCCGAGTCGGGCTCGTTGGCCGATGTGAGCGCTGGCGATGCCAGCGACGAGGCGTGCGACGAAGAGAGCGGTAACGGCGCAGGCACGGTCAAGCCTTGCAGGCGGTAGCGCTCGCTCATGCTCATCCTCGCCGGACCAGCGGGCGACATGCCCGCCAGGCTCGCCGGGCTCATCTCTACGTCGGCAGCGATCGTGTCCAGGCGCGTCGACGCTGGACTGCCCATCTCGCTCTGTTCCGAGATGGGCGCCATGCCGGCATCGTTGGCCTGCAGGAACTCGATCGGGATGGGCGAGCGAGCCGGAGCCGCCTCGACCGACTTTCGCAACGAGCTTCGTCGCGGTGGCAGCTCGACATCGTTCGGTACGGCCGCTGCCGGTTTAGCGCCGAACGAAGAGAGCGCCGGCGTCGATGCGTGCGTGGCGCCCACCAGGTTGGTCACATCCGCACTGTTTCGAGCCGAAGGGGTGGTGCCGCGCGACGAGATCGAGTCCCATCGTCGGCCGAATCTCGGGAAATTGGCGAAGCGCGAAGGCTCGTGGGTGTCGTTGCTTTCTGCCGAAGAAAAGATGCTGTTGCCCGTGCCAAAAGACGACGATTTCGAGCTGCCCGAACGGCCGCGCAGGTGCCGCGACCCGACGCTCGAATGGAACGCTGGGCCGTGCAGCATGTCGTACGAGTACTTGCGCGAGCTCGGAGGATATCGCTTGGATGGCGGCATCTCCGAAACAGGCGGTGCGGGAAGCGGACGATGCACATCCGCCGAGTGCATGTGCACGTTCGGCAGCGCCTTGTCGCGCGACGACGAGACAGAGCCAGACTGCGCGTGGCGTCCGCCCATAGGGAATGGCGTCGGTTGCGGGAAGACCGTCTCTCTCTCCGAGGAGCGCGACCACGGAAATCGGAACACCTTGTTCAGGCTCGATGTCGACGACGAAGAGCGCAAACGTGAATGGCCCAGGTCTAGCGATTGCGACTCGCGCGTCTCCTCGTCGCGCCCGGCGAGGTTGATTCTCGACAAGGACGCTATTCGACCCCGGAGCGTTCGTGTGCTTGCAACGCCCTCGCAGGGTGCGACAGCTGAGCCAGGTATGGCTGCCGCGCTCATCGATGGGAATGGTTCGGCTGCTTCTGCCTTGGACGGCACAGGAGGCCCGGACCTGTCTGCCTCGGACGACATGATCGAAGGCAACGGCTTTCGGGCCACAAGGTTTGCGACCGGCTTCGACGTCTGGGACGACATCATGGGCGCAGATGCCAGCTCCGGCGTTCTGAGGGTCGACGAGAAAGAGGGGCGCGCAGAGGCGATCTCGGTCGAGATCCTCACCACCTGTTCCTGCAGACCTGCGATCTCCTGCTCGTGCTTGCGAATCAGCTCCTTGTTCCTCTCCACCTGGCTCCACAGCTGCGCCTGTCGCGCCGGGTCCATCACGCTGCTCGCGCTCAGCGACCGATTGCGGCCTGGCGAGGACTGGCCGGGCGCCGTCAGGGCCGGAGTGGGGAATCTCGTGAGCTGTGACGATGGTGTCGCTGCAAGGTCAGCGCCACCGTTGGCTCGGCATCCGCACTGCCACGTGGCGTTGGTTTTGCCAGCGAGGGCACATTGCGGGCGGTGGAATGCAGAGGCAGAAGGTCGGATGGCAGGAATGCCGTCGTCGTCGATGCAGACGCTCCATGCATGAAGCTCACCTGGGGCTCTCTTGCCGAACTCGGGGGCGAAGCGGTTGAGCACTGTATCAGAATTACGGCGCACCAGCCTTGGCGAGGTCGGGTTAGGCTGTCCCGGTAGCGCAGGCACCGGCTTTTGCAGAGCGAAAGGACCGGATCTCGACGTGAGCACCGAAGCGGCTTGACGACGTTGCTCCGTGGGCAGAGCATGGCCAGCGGAGGAGAGTTGATGGGCTTCCGAAGCCGAGTCCGCCAAGATCTCCTCCTCGTCGTCAACAGCGAATTGGGCAAACCCGGTAGCTTCCGACTCGCCTTTCAGCAGCAGAGGGCTTTGCAGCAGTACAGGTGGTTTGGGAGCCTGCCTCGCAGCTGAAAGCGATGGCATACTGACACTCGACCCCAGGCCATCGTCCGAGCCGGTCGCATCGCGGCGGATAGGCCGAGAAAAGTTGTAGTTGGCCGTAAGGCCGTCTTCGCTGCTGCGACCCAAAAACGTGCGGCGATGCTTAGCCCGCTCTGCTCGCGCGTCTAGCAAGTTAGCGGGCTGTCCATCGGCAGCATCCCCGACGACTGCCCAGCTCGGGCTCTGTTGCTCGAACGATGGTCTGGAAGAAGAAATGTAAGGGATGCCTCCGGACGATGATCTAGGCACTCTGGAACCATCGTCCCGAGCAACGCCGCCGGCTGACCCACTGTGAGATGCAAACAACGTCGACAGCATTGGGCTCGAGCTTGATCTGGGGAGCTGATCGTGGCTCTGCGGAGAGGAGGCTTCAATCTTCATGTTCAGGGCGGAAGAGCCGAGAAGATGGTTGCGCCAAACGTGCTGAGTCGTGTCGAGCATCTGCTTGACCGTGTCACGAGGGATGTCGAGAGAACGCGCAAGCTCGTCCGTCGACGCATTGCGCGAGAGCGTCAAAGCTTTGCGGTCAGCGCCGACGACCAACTTGGGCGGGGAAGGTCCGATGGAGGACTGGATTGCGGCTGAGCCGCTAGCGGCCTGTTGCATACTGGATAGCCGATCGAAGCTGGAAGAGGAGCGCAAGGTCGGTAAGATCAGCGGCCTCTGCAGCTGTCGGGAGGCACGGCGTGAATGGGGATCGCCGTCCTGGTCCTGGTCCGTGACTGCGCCAGGGGTAGCGGAGATGGTTCGCGCAGCTTCGTCGTGCGTTGGTGCAGACGGCAAGCCAGGCAAGGCGGGAAGGGCGGCGGTTGGTGCGGGTCCGGGAGGTGGGTTTCGCGTCTGGCGGTTGCGTGGCGGCGATGCCGTTGTCGAGCCGATTACGGGCTGTGGCAAATGTCCGCCCGGGTTGGGCAGGGCAGCGGCAAGCACCTCGGTGTCCTCGTCCTCCATGTCCAGGTATGGCAGCTCGGTCGAGGAGCGACTGGCCGTCAATCCGCTAGCTTTAGGCCTCTCGATATCCCAGCGCTCGCCGCCGTCCCAGCTGTTCTGTTTGGACATGAGTGTAGGTCCCAGACTCCGAACCCCGTCAGAGTGCGGAAGCTTGGAGGGGGGCAGGTGCGCCCCCAACGACTCGCTGATGGAGGGCGGCTGTCGAGTGGTTGGTGAAGGGAAGGAGCTGATGAGCGAAGCCAGCGCCGGGGACGATGTGGGAAGCGACATCTGCGATGTCAGCGTCGTGCGCGATCCCTCGGCAGAAACGGGAGAGGCCAAGCGTGGAACGCGGAGCAAGTCGTGACCAGCATCGGCCGGTGAGGGGTCGGAGGTACTCGACAAGGCTGTCGAACGAGTTGTAGCAGAGATGCCGGCGCTGGAGGGAAATCCGACGAGCGGTGACTGTCCCATGGCTGGGGGTTCTCGTATTGTTGGGGCCTGCGGAGGGTAGGGGGAGTTGCTGGCCGTGCCTTCGTGGTCCGAGTCACTGTCGTGGTCTCGAAGGCTCATGTCGAGGAATGAGAAGCGTGATGCATTCATGTCAAGCAGGCCAGATGTGCTGAAGGGTCGACCGAAGCCCGCGTCATCAAGCTGTAAGGCGGGGGGCGGCGAAGCGGCCGATGAAGGCAGTGGTGGAAGGGGAGGGCTGAGGATGGGAGAATAGGTGGTGACGGAGTCGGAGGGAGTGGTGCGCTTAAGCTTGGGCGCCCATCGCGGTTGCCAGGCCTTTGTGGGTGCTTGCGAGGTGGAAGGATCTGAGGCAGTGTTGTGCGAGGACGTCTGATCTGCGCTCTGAGATCCTGATGGCTTTGCTGCCTTTGTGAGCGAGGGAACGCGAATCCGGAAGCGGCCGCTGTTGGTGCGCGCGACGCCATTGGCAGCGCTACTGTGCGTCGGCATCATGGCCTGCCGAGAAGACTCCGCGTTGGGCATGGCTGTCTTTGTGTGGGCGTTTGCCGACGTGGTGTGCAGCTGATTAGACCGATTAGCGTAGGGAGACGTTGACCTCTTTTCGATGCGAAGTGGTGGAGGCGGAAGAGCTTTTGTGGCAAAGTGAGATGCCATGGTCGAAGGCGACTAGCCTTGCTCGCTTGCGTGGAGCCTGCCTCTTAACACGCTCGGTTGTAGAGGCTGCGCGTGGTCATGAATGGCGTTGCAGCACGATCTGCAGGGTATTGCGTAGTGGGCGCAGTCTTTTGGGAGAGGGCAGATCCAAAGTTGTCGCAGTCCGGCTGCTGGAGGCGCTCCTGGCAATGTTGCACGCTGGAAGCACTCTTTGCTCCCGTCAGCTGCGATGCGATCCAAGCCCTATGATCCCGTGAATCCTGTCGGTGGTATATGCGGCCAGCGCGAATGAATGGATGGTGATGGTGGGCAAAGAACAAAGGTAGGCAGTTGCATGGGAAGAGACTGCTACGGCCGCGATGCAATTGGGTGGCACCGCGGGCTACCACCACCTCGCTGTGCGCTACGGGATGACGGAATGGCCGCGAGAACAAAGGCGAACCAAGCCCCAAGAGGCCGTTGGGTGCGTGCGTGCAGCTCGGATGTGGCATTTGAGCTCGAGTGTCTAACGCTGTGCCTACAAAGCTGGATGTCTTACTGTGCATCTGCTCGCCCGGCTCGGGGTGCGTCTTCTCGGGGACCTTGGAAAAAAGCGAAAAAGAGGGCGCACCGGCCGTTGAAGCGCGTCGAGCGCGACGCCAAGATGCCACGAGCCACGCGCGTCGACTGCAGTTGCTGTGCAGCTTGATTTACTGCCAGTCCGGCACCCTGCAACAGTAACTTAGCAGCGCCTCTTGTTCAGTGTGGCTTCAGTTAGCTTCCCGTCCAAGCTTCGCTCGAGCTTGTCAGGCACAATTGCCAGGGCACACGAGGATCGATCCATTTCGAGCCTCGCCGATTCGGACGTGCCGGTGCGGCAAAACGGAGGACCCTCGTTGCTGTCACCCGAGACCGTCACCTTGCGCGCACATGTCCGCACCCACACGTGTCGCATGCTGTCAGCTTAGGACGCGCCTTAGACAAGCTGCCATCCTTGCAGCTCGCTCCTCGCAGCTCGTAATGGCACAAGTTGCAGCTCGGATGGTTCCGAGCGAGGCTCTGTCGCCAACCGATACGGTCGGCACGTCCGTAGCACAGCTTCTGCTCGCCTGGCCGATCGAATCCTGGACAACGCACCCGTCGGTCAAAGGCAGCCAATTCTAGGGTTGTGGGAAAAAATGACACCTGGTGCATGAACACTGCCTTGACGCCTGGGAAATTTCAACGGACGCGCGAAGCCACCGCGTCTTCTCAAATGGATACCCTCTTCCCGCAAGATCGCAGTGGCCGAGCTGCATCGTTCTCCGCCGTTGCCCGTTCGATTGCAAGGACCCCTCGTCAGGTGGCTGACAGCGACAAAGGAATCCACTCCGACTGGACGCCACGCGCCTCTTTGCTATCGAATCCCGCTCCTGGGCCACTACGATCCAAGAGTTCGTTCGATCTACTCCCAGCTGAGTAGATCGGGAGCTCCGCAAACTTGATCCCGCCGATTCGATCGCCTTTGCGGAAGCTAGCTTGGTGACCTGCAGAAGCCTACTCTTCCCGCCTGCGTTACTTGTCTAAAGCTCATCTCAAACACAGGGAAAGCGACCACGTGGCCAACCGGTGGGGCGGATGCAGTCAAGAATGTCCGTTTTCGCGCCATCACAGCGCGGAAATCTATGCGTGAGAGTCGTACAAATGAGATCATGCAAAGGCGACGAGTGCCGAAGCAACCGCGGCCAGTGCGAGAGATGCTACAACGCCGGTCGAGGTGCCGACGGCGCCACTCGACTGGCCGGACTGGGTTCCGCCCGAACCCGATCCGGAACCGGAACCGCCACCATTGCTCTTCTTGGGAGCAGGTGGGTCCTGGGAAGCCGGGAGCGAGGTGGCGTCGCTGACCCTCTGGTCGCCGAGCTGACCGGTGCCGATCATGACGTGCTGGCCGATCGAAGGAATGCCGTTGACAACCAGGAAGGCCATCGCAGGACCGGGCTGGAAGATGTTGGCGTTCGGGGGCATGTTGGCCACATGAAGCGTGCCGCCCACGCTGCCGTCCTGGTTGGCCGTGTAGGTCGAGTTGAGCTCGAGGTAGCGCTGGCCAAAGTTGACGCCGTGCGTCGCAAAGCCCGGTCGGATGACCACCATCTTGGCCGTCTTGATGTTGGTGATGTTGTTCGACAGATCCGAGCCCGAAAGCGCAACGTCGAACGAGCCGCCACCGTAGGCGATCTGCGTGACGTTGGGCTGCGTGGGACGCGCCTCGTTGTACCACTTCGGGTACCACTGCTCCAGGCGGTACTCGGTGTTGGTGTAGTTGGCCGGGTTGTCAAAGCTCACGTCGGCGTTCGGGTTGGAGCCGGCCGTGAGCACCGAGCCGTCCTCGAGGAGAATGGCGGTCGAGTGGTACATCCTCTGCACCTGCATGGGCGACAGGCCGTCGGTCGAGAAGCGAGAGCCCTTGGGCGCGGTAGGGTCGTACAGCATCGGCTGGAAGTCGGGCTGGTCGCCGAGCGAGATGCCGAGGTTCTTGTTGTAGTTCTGACCCGAGTATCCACCGGTGCCCATTCGGACGCCCTGTCCGAACCACAGCTTGCCGTCCGGAAGATAGACGAACGTGCCCATGGAGCGGCCGTTGATGAGGTCGTCATCTTGCTCCCAGGTCGGGTTGCTGGCCTCGGGCGTGATGCGCTCGCATACCTTGCTGGCGGCGATGGGAAGCGGGTTGTACAGAGGACCAGCACCGTTGCCCCATTCGTTCAGAGGACGCTGCACACCACCGCAGAAGAGAACCTCTTGGGTGTAGTTGTTGGCGGGCGTCATGGGGAGCATCGCCACACCTGCCGAGGCCGGGTACACCTTCATAGGACCCGTGGTGGAAGGAAGGCCCTTGGCAACCGAGTTGGTGTCGAGGTTGTACAGTATCGCGTCCTGGCCTGCCTGAACGAAGAGTAGGCCGGAAGCCATGAGCCAAGCGAGCGGGTAGAGGTTCATGGGCAGCGTCTGGGTGAGGAAGTCCATGTTGATCGCATCGCCTCGAGAAGGCCAGTACTCGAAATTGGGCTGGTTCTGACCCTCGTCGGCGACGTATCCGCCGTAGTCCTCACCGCCACCGACCCAGAGAGTGCCGTCGGCCAGCGCCTCTACTGTCGGGTACCACCTGCGCCTCTTCATGTAGTGGTTGCCGTCGTCCCAATCGGCGGTGTTCTGGGAGTTGGGTGTGTAAAATCGTGCAGCGGCACCTCCATCACCATCATAGTAAGGGGCAGTGGTGCTGAAGCGGGGCGTGGTCGAATTGCCTCCAGGGCCGACGTTCTCGTTACCACCAAAGACGGCCCACGTGCCGTTGCCGAGCGACATGCCGCCTGCGCAGAAGGTGTTGGTGACTACGTTCATCAGACGGCCGGTGCGGTTCTGAGTGTCCCACTCCTCACCCCAGGCAGGGTGGCCGTTGATGCGCGCGGCGTTGCCCTCGGTCTTGTCGAGGATGACCACCTTGCCGGGCGCGCTGTTGAAGAGCATCATACCCGAGACGGACGAGGAGCCGACGATCTCGCTGCCTCCCGGAGTGGCAGCCATGGCAGAAGTGGCAGCAGTGGCGGCGACCGCAGCAGCTGCTGCCGCAACTGCACTACGTCTGCTCGGCATGCTGGACAAGCAGACAGGTATGGAAACAGATCTGGACCGGATATGGATGTTTCGAGGGATCAACGTTGACCGCTTAGAGCTCGAACGAGAGGAGGAGGAGGAGAAGGAGGAGGAGGAGGAGGAGGTCGGAAGCGATGCGTCCTATGCGGAATGGAAGGTGGGATGGACAGGCAATGGTCGAAGAGAGGTGGGGGTCAAGTCGGAAGCAGAAAGGGGTCAGGGAGAAGCTACATTGGATCTCGCTGATGGGCGAAGAGCTGTATATGCAGACAGTGGGTGGACAGCCCCTGGCGACCGTCGGGCCCTGCGGCTGCACAGCATGATCCGCGAGCTGCTTTCGAGAGAGCGTCACGCGGACAGACTGAGCCGGTCAACAAGAAGCTGCACAGCCTGCATCAGCAAAGGCTCGTTTGCCTGGTTTTCTTTGAGCGACTGGACGCTGTCCCCTCCAAGGCAGGAGGAGGATGTCGGCTATTCTGTTCGCCGTCAGGGCGCAGACTGGTTTCCTGGCTGTCTGCACCGAGCTCAAAACAGACTGAGGCTGGCGTGGGGGACCCTGAGGGCCTGACGTCGGACTTGCAGCGCGATGCCGGCAGCACAGCAGCAGCAGCATGAACCGCCGCACCACCACCACCACCAGCTCGAGCACGGCACCCCGTCGACGCTGGGCAAGCGAGGATCTGAGGCCTTGGCATTGGCTCGCGCGGCTCGTCCGAGGCCCTGTTTTTTTCAGCATGAATTTTCTCGCTTAGAACAACACGGACAACGTCGCAGACTGGCTGAAAACAGCGTGTTGGATTCGGCAAAGCCGCGACAAGAGTTCCCTTCTACTGTATCCCCCCTTCCTTCTCTCTCGATGTGCCAGCAACAGGCAGCACAGCCCCGCCGAAAGTGTTTTTCCTGGGGAGGTTTCTTTTGTTTTTCCAGAACGGATCGGAACTGCCGCTGGCCTTGTCGCGATCTGCAACAAAGCTTGCAGCTCGATCTTGTTTACTTCATTCAGCAGCTGTGCCCGGACCGCTGGTACCTCATCTGACGGCTTCTCTGACCTGCGAGCAACATCGCCGGTCTCAAAGGCAAATCCTCGGTACCTCCCAAAAACGCACCTTGATCGCTGCGCAGGGCGTTCACAGGGCAGACGAGGTGCAAAGTTGATTTTCAGGGCGCTGAATCGCAAATGAGCTTGAGGGGTCCCGGCAAATGAGAAGGGTTGGATTGAGGGTGCCTGCATCGCCCACTGCAGCTGCAGGCTCAAAATAGCATGTGGCTCCCTCGACGAACAATGCCCTCTGTCTTTTGACTGTACCACTTTGAGCTGCGAACGTGTGGGGTTGTGTCGCTGGTCCCCGACATGGACAGAGAAGCGAAATGCAGCCAAGCAAGGCATGAGGCGACGCCGAGGGCGGGGTTGGTTGCCAAAGGCAAGCAATGGCCGTTTCTTCGAAGGTCATGCAAAAGCGGCGGGTGAAACCCTTGCTTCACTCTCAACTCCGACGACCGTCGACGAGTTTTTTGTCGCGAGCTGTTATGCCGCATGTTATCACATGATAGACTTGTTTTCACATTGTCGCACGAGTGAGGCCGATGGATTTCTGACGCGCAGGGCTGAAATCGACCTCTTCCGGCTTGGCCCTTTGGAAGAGGAGCGGCTGTGGATTTCGGAAGCGAACGTTTGGGCAGCGGTTTGAGTCTGCGATAGCCCGCGTTAGTCACCCAAAGTGCGTGGTCGCCATCACAAGCTGGTCTTGCTCCTCCACCATCGTTGTCAACCACATTCCTCGACGCATCATCACAATGGACGCCCTTGTCTACCGAAAGTGAGCATCTGCTCTCGCTGCGCCCTCGCCGCGGCCCACTGCCGCCAGAGAGGCTACAGCAAGGCTACAACAAAGCTCCAGCAAAGCTACCTAGCGTCTGTTTGCAGAAGACTGACCCTCACTTATGTGCTGCTTTTCATCCGTCCAGGAACACTGTGCCCGAGCGCCAGCGCGCCCTCCAGGCCGACCCCCGCCCTGTCTTCCAGCGCCTGCCCCGCTCCAGGCTCTACATGGGTCTCTTCATGACCCTCTTCGGCGTCGGCATGTACGGCACCACCGTCGGCTTCTACAACATGGCTGTCGTACGTATCCCGCAACCGCCTCCACGTTGCATCGACCTTTCCGCCAGAACGGAAGCACCATTGTGCTCTTATGTGCAGTCACTGACCCTCTTGCCTCCTCCAATATTCACACCGTTCGGCGATCCTCTATCACAGGGCAAGAAGAGGAAGTAAATCTCCAGTATGGCGCTCGTTTACATGCGCGGTTGCTAGAAGACATGCACCGACAGCACACACAAGCTTCACACATTGCGGATTGTCTCTCGTTCCTCGCATCCACGTGAGAATACCAATCGCATCTCCATCTACCCTCATCTCTGCCCGGATCATCTTGGATTTCAGGCAGCACGCAGAGGATCTTTGGACACCAGGCAGTCTGCTGCATTCCACCAGCACATGGGCTTCTACGATTATGCAGCGGCAAGGCTCGCTGGTGAGAGGACGTCTAGTCGTCTTGCACCATGTCGAGCTCGTCGTTCTCGATCAAGTCGTGCAGGAACGCGCTGAAAGCATACAGGGGGAAGCCGACCACGTTGTTGTAGTCGCCTTCGATGCATCGCACCAGCAGCGAGCCGCGGCCCTGTGCACCCCAGCCGCAAAAGGTCGCAGAAAGCATGCCCTGTCAGTCATCTTGCCCACGCTTAGAGAGGTCAGTGGGGGTCGAGATCTTACCTGAATGGCGAAGCCGCCTGCGCGGTCGATGCCCTCGTTTGAGTCGACGTACGCCTTGAGCAGGTAGTACGGGTTGTCGGCAAATCGCACCACTGTGCGCTCGCACAACGACCTGCAGAAGAAACAACGCACCGGTGAGGGTGTCAGTAAAAGGTCAGCGGCGGCGCGGCGCCAAAGTTTGTCCGGGAAACGTACCTCATCTGGAAGCCGGGTGCTTCGATGACGGGCCAAATCACCGTGACGCCAGTAACGACTTCGCACTGTACCCGACAGACAGCAAGCGTTGACCAAAGTGAGCATTGTTGCTGTGGTGTGAGCATTCAGGATCGCGATTTGGGGAGGACAAGAGCAGCTGCGGAACGCACCTTGTTGCCGTTGAGGTCGGCGAGCATTCGGAGGTTGTCCTGCGCGTCCGCGGGCTTTTCCATGATCACTTCATCCTTGACCACCACCGTATCTGCCGAAATCACAAAGTCTGGCGGATCCTCGGGGTTCTCTTCCTACAGCGCCGAAAGCAAATCGGGAAATCAGCAAAGTCTGGCGCACGAGCATTGCCCTGCCGATTCACAGGCAGTGCTTACAACTAGGCGCTTGTACACTTCGAGAGCCTGTGAAGTGCATAGTCGAGGAAGGACGCGTTGATGTCAGTGCGAATCCCAGCGATGCTGTACCGTTGACCGCGGACTGACCTTCTTAGATCCTGTCTGGACGGGGTACTCGTAAACTGCGTCTCCGGTGAACTCTGACTTTGGCAGATCCTCTTCAAATGTGCTCGGCACGATCTCTGGCTCCAAGCCCTTTGATCAGAAGTGATCAGAAAAAGCAAGACGCAGTGAGTTCTCGGACATTCGCTGATGCCTGAATGAGGAGGGCTGGACTTACGACCGAAGCGAGGATCTGCTTGCGGCGCGGGCTGGAGCTGGCGAGCACGACGCGCTTGCCAGCAAGCACGTTAAAGAGCGGTGTGTTGAGCGCAAAGGGCGTCACTGGATCCGGTCGGGTCGTCATCGTGACTGTGGTGGTCGGTGTGTGCCAAGGTTGTCTTGAGCAGAGGAAACAGATGCGTGCATCTTGAGCACGGCCTGCATGGAAGACTCGGCATTTCAAAAAGCGCTTCCGAGTGGAGGCTTGCCACCTTTTCGATATGCTCTAAACTTTAACACACACATCGACTATCGCGATCGTGCATCCAGGCTCAAACCATCCGCTCGGTGAAAGCTCTCCTATGAAGGCCTAATGAGCGGCCATGGCATTGACTGAGATGTCGGGGATACGCTACGTCGATTTGGAGAAGCAACACAACGGCAGATCACATCCGCGCTTTCGATGGTGTCATCGAAGGAAGTCCCAGGGCCTCATCCACCAGCTACCCCAGCATCAAACCATGCAAAAGACGACTGATCGTTAGCTGCGTGTCCCCCAAAACGACCATATCACTGCATATTCACCTTCTTGGCTTCGAGCGCAGCGCCCCAAGATGCTTGGTATCCCGCACCGCCGTAGCTGCAAATGCGGAAAAGACAAGATGCGTCAGTTCCAGCCCGAGTCCAGACCTCCGTCCCCACAAACTCGGTGTGCTTACCCGTAGTTGAAGATGACCTTGACACCATCGACATCCTTCTGCGCCTTCTCGAGACGCACACCTCCTCGTCTTGCAGGCCTGAGCCCGACGTTGACGCCGAGAACCTCGATATCTTCGACCCTGGGCTCGGTTAGCGCGTTACGTTTGCGGGGGTCCACGAGCTGTGGCATGATCTTGAGGCATCTCTCTAGGATGGTTCTCGTTGTCTCTGCCCGCGGAGTGGGGTCCCACTCATCGACGATGCGCGTGCCGCCGCAGACGACTGTACCGTCACCGCGCGGGATGACGTACACCTCGCGGCCGCCCTGCGGTCTTACCACCGAGACGCCTGGCAGCTCGTGGCGTGGGTTCTGCCACCGATGGTGCTCGTCAACGGAGAGCCAGGGAGCGTTGACAACGACGACTTGACCACGCTGTGGGTGCACTGCAGAATCGTTGATGCCATTGATGCTGCGCGCCCCAAGGCCAGGACTGATGACGAGCGCGTCGACGGGAGGCACAGACGTCCACGCGCTGGCGTCGCGGCAGACGGCGCACGGCACGGTAGGAGAGTTGGCGATACGAATGGCGTGCTGTAGTGAGGTGGCTTCAGAGGCAACGACACGACCTCCGAGCTGTAGGAAGCGCTCTAGAAGCCAGTCGAGGTACACGGGCACGTTGATGTCGATGGTCGAGAACGTACAGCCCCACCCGAACCTCGGAGCCAGACTCGCTGAAGGAAGCTCCTTGAACTGCAAGGTGGGCAGATTGTCAGCACTGTCGACTTTGATGCCCTCTACAGTAGCTTTGCAAGATGAGAACTCACATCAGGATACCAGTCAAGTACGCCGTGATATGGCGGCCTAGTAGACTGCGACGGATCGCGCTTCTCAAAGAGCTCCGTCTGATGCACCCAAACGAGCGGCTCGCGTCCTTGAGCCGCACTTGCTGAGCTCGACACATCGGGTTTGGTGATTGGCAATAGCGGCTCACCGAATGCACTGCTGCCACCGGCCTTGTCCCTGCGCCATGGCTTCTCCTGCGTGAGCCGGCTCATCCTGTCGAACGTGATCTTGTCGTGCCTGAGGTCGCGTTCTGTCTTGGCATCGCTTACGTGGTGCCCTCCCTGTAAACGACGTCCCCGTCAGCTCATACTCTGCCGGAAAGCTTACAGAAGAAGCCGTACTTACCGCCCATACACTAGCGTATTCCGCCGAGTGTTTCTGATCTGCCGATGTCGCACTACCAGGCAGCTCCTTTGCCACAATTGTAACGCGGGTCTTCGATCGGCTCGGTCCATCAGATTGCGCCTCGAGGATGGCAAGCCCTGTTGAGAGACCGATGACGCCGCATCCTAGAATAGCTACGTGGTGCGATCCTGCCGTCATTGCACTGAAGAGCCACGTGTGTACAGAATGATGGTAGGGAGGAGTATCAGGTTGCGGCTCTTTCGGCGTCTCACCCCCCCCCCCCCCCCCCCCCC